CCATATTTTTAAATAACACGGCTTTTCCTGCTCTTTCTTGATTGTTCATTTTAGAGCATCATTTATTATTACCTTACTGTGGAAAATGAAAATTGGCCAACTTTACCCTCTTCAGCTCCCATCACACATTCCTCTTAGGTACCCATAGTCCCAGTTTTGCTGTATCATACATTTGATTAATCAATTAATTCATTTTTTCAGAATTTACATTATTCTGTCTGTAAATATTACTCATGGCACAGTCATGTTTATCCTATGATTAGTTATCTTTTACTGTATAACATTTTCCCCATATTTAATAGTTGGGTTTATTATTACTAAATTTTCCATGTATCTGTCACTAATTTACTGTTGTGATCCTGGGGATTCCCATCACTTTTTTCCTATGTTGGATCCTTTGTCCTCTGGATCCCCATGTCTGTTTTCTTGTATTTCCTTATTTTGATGAAACACATCCTGTATTGTCAGCCATGTATTATTTTGGTGTGTTTAATATTTGTGATACTAATTATAAAACAAACTATAGTGGGGTCATGTAGCAATTCATAGTAATTTAAATGTAATTGTAATTTCTTTTCTGTGTATGGATTTTTAAAAAGTCTTAACTTTTGTGATTGAATTTTACATTCTTGAATTTAAATATGTTTTTGAACTCTCTATTTAAATGTGTTCAACTCATTTCTTTAAAATAAAAAGGTTTTGATAAGCAGTTTTTAGTAATTAAGGCCAAGTTCTGTTTCTCGCCTAGTAACTAACATATTTGAAGAGGATGAATTGTTATAAAATAGGAGTGCTCTTTAAATTAACTCTTGTTGTTTTTATGTACTGTATCTTGCTGCATTTTTATACTAATATATCTGTGTACTGTATTTGTGTTAGTTTGCAGATATGGTAGTGACTGGTATAGTAAAGCTATTATTTTATCTTTCTTAATAAAATATAGCATTTTAAGCCTTTATTCTGTACACTAGTAGTAGTTTTTGAGAAGTAGAAGGATTTAGATTCTTATGAGAGATCTGTATTCTATTAGAGGAAAAATATATGTTAAATTGCCTTTTCCAA